TTACAGAGCTCATTTACATATATCAGTCTTAAAGGCACAGTAACAAAAACAATAACTGCCTGATTACTTCTGACGGATAAGGAGAGGCTGGAAAATCACTGAGTGTGTTTACATGCGCTTAATAATCCGATAACTGCAGAAAATCAGATTTTGTCAGTAATCCGATCAACATGTTTACATGCACTTCAACTCCGGGCCTACATGAGTCAGGCGGTAATTAGATTTCTGCTTTACAACCAGCCAATAGACTCACAGAAGAAGACGAGACGTAAACATAACGTAAAACTCAATTTCGTGTTTGGTTTCAGCGCCGCTCCCACAGTGTTTTGCTGTGTCTCGCGACATCCACCGTCTGTTTTCACGCATGCGCAGACTGAGAAATCAGAAAGAAATCAGAGTAAGAGTTCACAGCACTAGCTCTCTTTATCAGATTTCTTAATCGGATTTCTAGATCGGAGTATGGTGTTTACTTGCCCATTTGACTAATCGGATAACTGCAGAAATCTGATTACGATTGGATTATTGAGTGCATGTAAACACACTCACTGCTCCACAGGTTTAAATTTTGGGGGTGCACCAAGGTAAAAAGACACCCGTCAAAAATTTTATTCATCTGTTTTGAAAAAAGTGATTTTATTTTGTTTTTTGAACGCAGCTCGGGTCGAGAGAGAGAGAGAGAGAGAGAGAGAGAGAGAGAGTGAGAACAGTAGCACCTGCACGTTAGCTAGCTACTACGCGTAATTAGCAAAGCCGTCCTGGCTGAATTTGCTCTCGCTTAGTTCGAAGGACCGCCAAGTTGTACCAGTCATGCCTCTAATATCTACTGAACTGCATCTTAGAGAAGCACATTTTGGCCATTTCTGCGGTCCACATTCGGGTCTAGCTCACATTTCGACATGTATTTAAGCCCTTTTTTCCTGCAGTTATGGTTCCTTCATGTCATAAAACGTCTCTTGGTATTTATCTTTAGAATTTCATCTGTTTCACTGTCTTATACGATTTTAAATTAGTACTCATAATTCCTTCTGTTACTGCTAAGATTTATCACCTGTCTGATAAAGCACTGTAAACAGCCACTTGCATGAAAAGTGCTCTATCAGTAAAGATTATTATGACTTTTAAAACACTTCAGTTCACTGTTGTTCTCCTGCAGAGTGTATAGAAACAGCTGGTGGGCTGTAATGTGACCTACCAGAGCAAAAAGGCTCAGCTAGTACAGCAATAACAAAGACTCCAGGTTAAAACTGAGGGAGGCAGCAGGTCAGACCACCTGTTTTACATACATTTACCTGACAATATATAATTTCACAGAGGAAAAGCACATCACTCACACTCAAACAAGACAGTCATATATTAAGGCTGTAAATAAATAAGTGTTATTAATGTGTTATTAAGTGTTATTAATAACACTTAGTGTTATTAATCTTAGTGTTATTAGTCTTCATATGTAGCTGACACACCCACCTTTTAAATGATAACCAGTGCATTTGCAAAAGCTGAGCACAATCATTGTTAAAACTATGTTATCATGGTTTTTGTTGTTTATTTATGGTTTAGAGTCGGTGTCTCCACCCATCCTCGACGATCAAGTACTAATGAATTATTATTATTATTATGGCTGTTTTGGAAATTGAAACTACACAAAGATTATAGGTTACTTTTACTTTGCATGAATGCTGCTTGTATGTAAATATTTATGGATCTCTCTTTAAATAATATTTTATCATATCGTCATCGCAGGGCTGGGCGATACGGCCAAAAATGTTATCACCATAAAAACATCATATCGTTCGATATCGATACACATCGCGATAAATGTCACATCATGATTTGTTTCACGTTTGAAGGCTGAATTTTCCTGAGTGGTTTATTGTTGTTTTAAACTATCCTTCGCGGTCAGAACATGACAAACACTAAAGCTCAGCTCGCTGGGTCATTCTAAACTTTTACTCTCTAACCACCTCCACTCTGCCTCACACTGTTTTACCTGATTATTTTACTATTATTGTTTTATTTTCATTATTTTATTATTTATATGTTTGTTTAATTATTATAATTCATATTCTTATTTTTAAGTATAATTATTTTATTATTATTTTAGTCATGTTAATACATTTTTAGTTTACTTTTTGATCTTTTTCTCCTTTTATTCTATTTTGATTTGATTTTATTAACTTTTACATTTTAGCTGCGTTTTAATTATAGTTTTATATTTTCTGCTGTATTTTTATGTATTTTTATTATTAATGTTTCATTTTTTTTTACTTAACTGATTTGAGTAATTTTTTTAATTAAATTTATTTTTATTATTTGATATTTTCTTACACATGATCAATCCCTTGTTCTGTATCATCTCAGCCACATTGTAAATGAGGGTCACCCTCAATGTCCGAGATTAAATAAAGGTTGATTGATTGATTGGTTGAAATCTGTCATGGGAGAGTGGGAGAAACTTTCTGGTCAGCTGTTTTTACCAGCTGGAAAAGCACGGCCGCAGTTTTTGTAACAGTCATAATTTAAGAAAGAAAAGATCTGACTGAGCGCTGTAACAGTGCTGTAGTTGAGAGGAGCAGACGTGATTTAACGCTGCTAAAGCTGTTAGGATGTACAGAAAGAGGTGAGTTCACTGTAGGACAGTATAGTAACACCACTGACTTCGTCACTCACACTCGGTCACAGGAGAGCAGATCGCCGGTCGCTCCACTCAAACAGGGAATATATAACTCCACATTTCAGACGTTGCTAAAGTATATTTGGTGACTCATTTCACTCGCCGCCCTCTCTCTAACTATGTTGGAAAACTTGAAAGTGCGCCCTCTTGTGGCGACAGCAGAGTAGTGCTGCTTTCTTTGCAGTATAAAACGCCACCAGGGCTTTCGCTAGAACGCAGATGTGTGAGAATGGTGTATTATAGCGAAAATTTATCGAACACGTTCTTATCTCTCTATCGAGGAAAGTTATATCACAATTATCGTTATCGTTTTATCGCCCAGCCCTACGTCATCATGATATTCAGTTCAGCATTAGTTACAGCGGTTATGTATGTTCATTATATTAAAATAAATGCTAGAGTGTATATGTTAAATATCAAACTGATGTATTTACTATCGTCTCTATATGTAACACAGATGTGCAGCTGGGCGATACTGGCAAAAACACAATACCCTGAAGTTTCGACAATACACAATATGGTGCGATACATATACATTTTATGGTATCTAATAAGTTGAAACAGAAAATAATAAATGCTCATTTAAAAGTACTATCAAGAACAATGAATACAGTTATTTGTATTCAACACCGCACACACTGAGCTGCACCAAATCCACTTAAACAGGACTAACTGTGATCAACTACGCAGTTGGGAAATGTTTCTAAGCTCTGACAAAAAAGCATATTGTGACATACTGTGATGTAATTTCTCAGGATAACCATAAATGCTGTCATATTGCCCAACTCTACACAGAACACGCTCATCACACCAAGCACAGTCCATCTCCATCAACTACAAGCCCATCAGCCAGTCACAGTAGAGCACAGCTCTCTGCTCATCAGACAAAGTCACAACGGCATGCAAATATATGCAAAGAGCTCAATCTTAAAGGAAAATGGACACTCAGATAAAACCTGCAGTGAGAGGAGTCTGAACAGCCAATCAAGTCAATCTGAAGAGACCCTCACAGTGAGCTGAACTACAGGAAACCTTTGTGTGCTCATTCAAATAAGGCTGATGGGCTCGGATTGGTCAGGAGCTGTAATCAGATAAAACGTGCAAAAGGACACAGGTCAAGTACAACAAGATAGTCTGGCCTAAATCATCACAGACTCATCTCAAACCGTGTGTAGATGTTCAGAAATCTTTAACAGACTTGATCATGTGGTTTCTGACACTGTATGGCTCACAGTTCTCTATAAACATGGACTAAACTCAGCCTGCGACCAGGCGGCTACTGTTCCTAGCTGCGTTAATGTACTTCAGTCCATGTTTATAGATAACAGTGAGTCATACGGTGTCAGAAACCACATGATCAAGTCTGATAAGATCAGTGAACAACTATACACAGTTTCAGACGAGTGTGTGATGAATTAGGCACTCAGTTGGCACCAAGCTGATTGGTTATTTCTTGGTAGCTATAATTAGCCACGTAGCTCCAGTATAAAACTGAAGAATGAACTTCAGACAACAAACACGTCTTGGATGTTCGAATACATTTGGAATAAGGAGAAAAACTGTATTTTCATTTTTGACTTGAATATGCTTTAAATACTCAATCCTGACAAATGCACGATAATAACTGATCAAAGTACAGTATAGGAGATACTTTATAGTACAGTAGTGTATAGTATAGTAGATACTGAATAATTCATAGTATCTACTTAACAATTAATAGTATTTATTGATTAATTCATAGTAGTTATTGAATCATTTGTAGTAAATACTAAAGAATTCATAGGAACTACTGAGTAATGTATAGTAGTCACTGAATAACTCACAGTGGATGTTGAATAGTTCATAGTAGTTACTAAATAATTGATAGTAGTTAAATAATTTATAGTACTTTCTGAATAATTCATAGTAGATACTGAATAATTCGTAGTAGATACTAAATAATTGATAGTAGTTACTAAATTATTCATAGTAGATACTGAAAAATTCACAGTAGATACTGAAAAATTCATATTAGATACTAAATAATTCATAGTAGATACTGAATAATTCATAGTGGATATTGAATAATTCATAGTAGTTACTGAATAATTTATAGTAGTTACATAATTTATAGAAGATACCGAATAATTCATAGTAGATACTGAATAATTCATAGTAGATACTAAATAATACGTAGTAGATACTGAATCATTCATAGTAGATACTGAATAATTCATAGTAGATACTGAATAATTCATAGTAGATACTGAATAATTCATTGTAGATACTGAATAACTTACTGTAGTTAACGAATAATAAGCAGTTTAAAAGATTAACATGAAACACTCACTTCCTGTAGGACACCCAGGGTTTGGCGGTAACGAAGGGCCGGAGGAGGGTCTGTACTCGGCTCTCCCAGCACCAGAAGGGGGGGTAATACGTCTCTGTCACCACAGGGGCAGTGGTCCCTCAGGAATTCATAAAACTTCTTCCCCCCTGCTATCAGCTTTGGCTTCTGAAAGACAGCAGGAGGACAGACGGAGAGATTCAGTGAAGTTATTTCACACAGCAGACGCGGTGCTGAACTGCCCAACAGTGCTTTCAGAAGCAGGTTAGGAGCTCATGCAGGGGTTTGCAGCTCATTATGAATCAGGAGTTTGAGAGCGACGTGAGGAACGACTGGCGATAAAAAAATCAAATATACAGTAGAGGATGTTTTGTTTGTCAGGAAGCCAATTTAACACGAAAAAATAAACTCCAGGAATGTGTTTCACTTTAAAACTATTAGAGCCCATTCTTCAGTTCTTCCATAAATGTCAAAACCCCCCTCTACGGTGATGCTACTTTCTGCTAGCGGCCCTATGGGATTCTAGTAGTATTTTAGCGCCAAGCTAAAGTGATTCAGATGAACATTTTTTGGCCTTTCTATATTAAACAGGCATTTAAATCTTGTAAAAGACACCCCACATTTTTATTTGAAGCTCATAACAGAGATAAACTGTATCTGAGCTTGAGTGACTCTTTCAGTAAAGAGCTCTGCTGCTGCTGCTGTTTTCCATTCCTAACTAACCAAAAACCTGCTTAGACTACAAATCATATTCAAAATCAGTGACGTATCTAGAACTTCCAGAAGGCCTAGAGTGACATTTAGTCTCAGTAAACTGTAAATCAAAGTGTGATTGGTTGATTCCTCTGTCCTGTCCTAATTACGTTGGTAGGTAATCTAACGAGGAAGGCCTTCTGTTCAGCTCCTGAAGTCCTAACCAATGAGAGAGCTCGCTCAGCTGTATCTGCCTAAATACCACAGAGAAATCAATCCTGATTGAACAGTTTTCAAGATGTTAGCCCTTTTGGTTCCAACATAAACTTTACAATTAAAGCTCACAATTACAGCAATGCCTGCATAGTTTAATATAACAAGAATAATGATTTATTAAATAAAAATTAATGTAAAAATTACTGACATATATTTTTTTGATTTCAGCCTCTAAACAAGGCTGAGTGATGTAAAATCTGTACTGGTATACTGTGATACTGACCTACACTCATATTGATTTTCAGTTTTAGAGACATATTTGATAGACAATAAACATTATATGATACAATAACAATAATGTCTTTGTTGTTACAGTTTAATTCTTTCTTGTGCACTTTACTTCTGATTTCCAGGACCAGACAGTCAGTTCTAATGTACGTGAATTAATGAGTGCTTCAGACTGATTTGATAGGGTTTAATCACTCAAACACAACAAAAACTAAATAAATAAAAAATAGGACTTGCTTTCTGGAAGTGAGCCGTAAACAGAGTCGTTCAGAGTGGTTTGGTGTGAAACTCTCCATTCTAAATAAACTTACTGAGTCAGAACTGTTCACAGTGGTGGTGATAGGAACCAGACGTCCACCTCTAAAAACTCCCTCACAGAAAGATGGAAAATTGTGGTCTAAACATATATTTTTAAAATCCATTCATGGTGGAGGGATACATGCAAGGTGTTATGAGGCAAAATAGTCCCCAAAGAAAACATATTATTTCAGATGTTCCACTATTTTACCATCAACATTCCATATAAACTCAGAAACTCAGTCCCTACAGTCAACCATTTCACACCAAACCACTCTTTACATCTCAAACACCGAATTATGGAAGAATTTTGAAAAACTGTGGATTTCCCCTTCATTACAACTGTATTGGCTGTCTGTATTTTTAAAGGAGGTCATCAAACCTGCAGCATAAAGATTAAAGCTGAGGCACGTGGGCACCTAAAAAAAACACAGCTCACCTTAAAATGCTGCCTCCTGTTCTTTGTAGGGACCTTGAGTTAAAGGGGAATTCCACCAATTTTTCAAAATTCCTCCATAACTCAGTGTGTGAGATGTAATCAGAGTGACTCAGAGTGGTTTGCTGTGAAATGGTTCAGATGTCTTTACAGTGGTGGTGATAGGAACCAGGGGTCGCCATGACTACAACATAAATATAGACATTTTATTTACTATCCAGAACCACCAGTGAACCTACACGAGTCTTCTGAGTTTATATGGAATGTTGATGATGGAAAATAGTGGAACATCTGAAATAATAAGTTTTCTTTGGGGACTATTTTGCCTCACAGCACCCTGCATGTATCCCTCCACCATGAACAGGCTTTTAAAACTAATATAAAACAGTGTCTCAGTCATCAGGCAGTGAATTCATAACCATTTCATGTAGTAACTTTCTGTGAGGAGCTTTTAGAGGTGGACGTCTGGTTCCTATCACCACCACTGTGAACAATTCAGACTCTAAGTTTCTCTAGAACAGAGCGTTTCACACCAAACCACTCTGAACGACTCTGTTTACATCTTAACCATCTAATTATGCCGAAAATTTGAAAAATCGCTGGCGTTCCCCTTCAACACCGGGGTGACAGTTTTTTTGCTTTGTCATGAAAAAAAGCACCGCCTTCATTCGCCACAAGGGGCGCTAAAAAGCAGCAGCAGGAGGAAGAGAAACCTACAATCCGCCCAAAATGAACTGAAAAGGGACATTTTTACAGGCATAAAGGTCATATTTATGAATATATATCACAAATATGATCGATAACAGCCTGTTTGGGGTGTTTTACATGTCCAATAAGGTACCAGGCATTGTTTTTTCATAGTGAACTTGACCACCCAACATATAACAGACACTACAGCGCGGTCACTTTCATAGAAAATCAATCATATACACACACACAGACACTGGTTATGGCTTTATGGAGCAAAATCCTCACAATAGTCATAATATATACCCGGAAAACGAGTATAATCGTGCTAGGAGGCCGATATAAGGGTCAAAATGGGAAAAGCCGGTGACACCCTGCAGTCTGAGGCTGCTGAGAGGCAGGAAATGACCATATTAGGCGGTATAAAGGGACGGAGAGGATGGTTGTGACGTTTTTGGGGGAGATGAGGATGAAATAAAGAGGAGAAACGGGACTCAGGATGGATACATTGTATTTGCCTCCAATGCAAAGCAATGCAAAGCAATGCAATGAGGTCCGATGAAAAACCATGCAATGCAATGCAATGTCATGCAATGCAATGCGCTGCATTGCATTGCATGACATTGCATTGCATTGCATGGTTTTTCATCGGACCTCATTGCACCGCACGGCGCGGCGTCCTACCTTGGCGATGGAGGTGAGGTAGTAGCATGCGTAGGCGGCCCCGAAGCCCAGCGCGAGCGCCAGCCCCACGCTCGAGCCCTGCAGACCCACCGAGACCTGGTTCTCCACGTACACGCCGAGCACGTCCCAGCCCAGATCCAGAGAGATCATGGCCAACACCGCTTCAGCTCCACCTACGCTGCTGATACTACCACTGAGCCCGAGCCGGAGACAGGCACGAGAGTGAGCGCGCGCCCCGGAGCGCTCTGCTTATATAGCGGGCTGGTCTGACTGAAGGGGGCGCTGTGGCGCGCATAGTGCTTTTTTTTTATTAATATGCATATAATATTACAGACGAGGACGTCCAAATTAAACATAACTACAGACATTTATTTTCAACATCAAGGAAAAACTAAAGTTTCAGATTTTTTTGTTTTGTTTTTTTGAAAGAATTGTCTTTTTTGGTCTAATTTAAAAATATGAAATTAGGTTTGTTTTGAGATTTTAAAGTTTTTATCGTTTTTATTTAGATATAAATACAAAATTAAAAGTGGAATAAAGTGGATAACTGATTATGATAATGCAAAACTTTTTTTTTTAAAATTTTTTGGATCTTTTTGATGGTGAGGTTTTTTTTTAGAAATTATTTTTTTTTTTACATTTTATTTTGTATTTTGATTACATCAGCACAACAATAGAATATAGCAGATAGACACTGAACAGTTATACAGTTATGCAGCCTACAGGACGGAGGTTTAAGCTTTGAGATTTTCGAAGTGGGCTCAAAAAAGGGACCAGATTTTCCAAAATTTAGGAAATATGTAAATTTCTCCAAAGGAAGTAGTGTTGTTATTAGAGAGAGCCACATGTTTGCTGAATTTTGGGTATTTTTTTATTTTTATCTAAATTTTAGAATCTTGAGACACCTTTCACTTTGTGTAGAATCATTCTAAACATAAACAAAATCTGAAAGAAATATTTTGGATTCTTTTTCAAGATTATCTGAATTTTTAGACTTTAGATTTTAATTTACTTTTGGATGAACTTTAAAGTTTTTTGTTATCACTCTTTAAAGTTATTATAAAAAGTCTTTTAGACTTGTTTCTTAGACCTGTTGATATTTCTTTTGCATTTTTAGATTTAAAAACAAAATATGAACAGAAAACAAAAACAGAGAAAGTACAGGAGGACAAATTAGAGTGGAAAACTGATGAGAGGAGTTTTGCACTTTCCTCCACTTTTAACTTTGTATTTATATCTAAATAAAAATGATAAAAACTTAAAAATCTCAAAACAAATCTATTTTTTATTTTTAAATTAAAACAAAAAAAGACATTTGTTTCAAAAATCAAATATTTATTTATGATGGAGGGAATTTTACAGACGAGACTAAGAAAGACCAGGAGGAACAGTTTATCAGTGCTGGGTGGAGTTTAATATCTCTAAAGTTCTGATAACAAGAACGTTTTTCTGGGATTATTTGATGATGTGATTGATTAGGTCATAAAATGGCAACCCAAAAATTTTACATACAGATATTTGAGGAACTCACACATTTTACGTGTCTATACTGCAGACCGTAGAGTGTTCTTGGTCAGATAAATAAGTGGTGGTATGTAGACATTATAATTACATTGTAATGTACATATGAGTATTTGATAAACGCATTATGTCATTAAATGTAATATTACATCACTGATCACGGTTAGAGCACAAAATAATGGACTCTATTAAATATAATAAAAAAGACCTTTTTTGAAATTAAGATGAAGTTACATTAAAATTCAAATGAGATCAAAATAAGAAGAGAAAAGGGCAAAACAGAGATATTTTATCTACTGAGGTTATTACAGATTAATATGTGGACACCATACACTGACATTAGATCTGAGTTATTTATGTCCATGTTTTATACAATTAAATACCAACCTCAGTAAAGCTAGTGAGTTGCTAAATGTACATATGTGTATGTATATAAATAAGCATAAATGTAATAGCAGAGAATATTGCAATATTAAAATAAAATATTAAAACTATTTATGACTGTTCAACATGATCAACAGCATTACTGGAGATGGCACTCTGACGCCCTCTAGAGGCTGATTTCAGCAAAGCATCTGTTTCAGGCTTTAGTAAAGAAAGTGAGGAACCACTGGTCATAGTCTATTAACAGATATTGATGTTTTATTCTATTTCAATAATATGCATAAAATATGCTTTTAAATAATATTAACGAAAACCATAACTGACTATCTGTGACCTTCAGCCCCTCAGACAGCACTGCCTTAAAAACCGGCATGTTTCTGTGATGGAGATCACCACATGGGCTCGGGAATACTTAGACATGTCTATAAACACTGTCCCTGCATTTACAAATGCATGTTAAGACTGTACTGTGCACAGTGGAAGTCATATATAAACCACCTCTAGAAACACTGCTGACTTCTCTGGGCTTGAGCTCCTCTGAAATGGACTGCTGCTCAGTGGAAATGTGTGTTGTGGTCTAACGAGTCCACTTTTCAGATTGTAAGATTTCAGATTGTGATTCAGATTCACTGTAAATTATTTCCAGGATTTCACAATATTTAACAATTCTGTTTTTTTCACAGTGCTATATTGTATTCATAATTTTAATGTGAAATCAACACATAATAATTGACTATTTCAATGCTGGAAGTGAGGTGTTTGCAAAAAATAGTATTTTTTTTGTGTTGATTTTTCGGTCAAGTTGGTGCAAATTATACGCAAAGTCAAACTGTCTGTGACATTTGTATTTACATCTCAAAAATACTTGAGACAGCATGTGCGTGTACAGTACAAAACATAGTAAATACGTATTTTATTTTTTATTTTAGTTTGTCTTTTATTTTTTGCAATATAATTAAAAATACATATTTATAGATCTGGTAAAATGAGAGTAATTTTGGTCATGTTGGTAAATAATCTGATATCTTTACAGGAGATGAAAAAACATTCATAACTTTTGCGTAACAAGATTGTTTGATTGTTTGACAATTTTGGGTGATTTCTGTTGGTCCATTCATCATGAAATTTTAACACAATGCAAACAATAACGGGAGTCTTCAAATTAAGCAAAAACGCAGATAAAAGGTTTTTTATGTGACAGCGATGATATGTAAATTTACAGTAACTTACTGGCTACAGACTTGCATTACTTTTACAGGAGGTTACTGTATTTTAATTACAGTGTATTACTGTAAGTTGGACTGGCAAGCTGTCTGGGGTGTTTCCTCCCTTTCGCCCAATGACCGCAGGGGTAGGCTCCAGCTACCCCCCAGTGACCCAGAAGGATAAGTGGCTTAGAAAATATGTGTGTGTGTGTGTGTGTGTGTGTGTGTGTGTGTGTATTACTGTAAGTGTTGGGCAGAATATGAGCTCCATCACCATAATCTAGCACTTGACAGTGAAGTCATACAGCTGATATTTCACTGTTATTTACTGTTAATATGGTTCAGTAAGTTACTGTGAAAGTAATGCAGCTATTACATTACTGTCATTTTACAGTAAATGTTTTAGAGTGCGGGTCAAACTAATGACAGCATATGAATAACTGCTTTCATTTGTTATCAGTGGTGGACGAAGTACACTAATCATGTACTTGAGTTAAAGTAGAGATACCCAAGGTAAAATATTACTCAAGTAAAAGTAGAAGTTCCTCTCTTCAGACCTCCACTTGAGTAAAAGTACTAAAGTATTTGCCTTCAAATGTACTTAAGTATCAAAAGTAAAAGTACTGAAAGATTAATTATGACTTTAATGTCCTGTTATCATTTTTGTAACAAGACTCGCTTCATTAACTCATTTTAGGTGAAAATACTCCAGTGTCTCTCTTGGTAAACCAGTCTTTTAATAGAATGTCATTAATTAGTGACGCTGATGTCTATTAAAATGATCATAAGCACAAAACACTGAAGGCAAACAGTTTCCATCAGGTAGAACTGAGTGGCTCTGAAATCACTTTACAAACAAGCAAAGTTTCAGTTTAAGATTTATATGAACTTAGTTACAAGTTTAAGTTTAATAAAAACTTTAAACTCAGATTCACAAATGAGTTTCCTTTACTAAACTGCATCTGTAGGTCTCTGTTCATAAACATAAACTAGCCAAAACTAATTTACTATAAAATGAAATGTGTTTGTATAAATTCAGAATAAAGACCTGTCAGTCACAACTGCATATGAGTACATATTTCTATATTGTGGTCTATTTACACAAAGTTAGGTTAGTTCATCATTTATGTTGAACAGACTCTCCCAAAATTTTACGCTGCTGCACTGACGTTGAACCGTGTGCTGCACTGGGTCGGTATGACCAACAGGCTCAGAACAAAGTGACCGCTGTGCCTTGATTGGTGTTCTTGCTTTGCACTTATTTCGTTTTGACATTACGTTTTTATACAGACATAAACCAAAAGGAACGACAGATTTCTCAGAATGTAGTGGAGTAAAAAGTGAGATATTTGACTTTGAAATGTAGTGAAGTGAAAGTAAAAAGTCACCAAAATGGAAAAACTTCAGTACAGATACACGAAAAAACTACTTAAGTACAGAAACTGATTACATTTACTGAGTTACTGTCTACCACTGGTTTTTATTAGCAGTTCACATACTGTCCCAACTCTTGGAACTGAGGTTGGTAAATAAGTGTAATAGGTATTTATTAAGTGACCCTTATTAGTCCCACAACAGGGAAATTTCACCTCCACATTTAACTCATTCGTGCAGTGAAACACCACATACATACTAGTGAACACACACACGGTGTATCCATAGCACCCGGGGAGCAGGTGGGGGTTAGGTGTCTTGCTCAAGGGCACTTCAGTCACATATTGTTGGCTCAAGGGATCAAACTGGTGACCTTCTGGTCACAAGGCTGGTTCCCTAACCTCGAGCCCACGACTGCCCCAATACAAAGCATTACAATGCTTGTTCAGTTGAATCAAAGGTCATGTCGTCTTTTCCCTCGTTGTTTCCTGTGCATAACTTATTTCCAACTTGGGTGAAACATGGCCTCTCCTCAAGTCTGCTGACAACACTGGATGTGAGCTCATTCATCCAGACGCTGCTTTGCAGAACTTTCTGTAAGAAATAAACGATTTAAGAACATCAGCAGTGTAACAACAGCAGGCTGAACAGTTGAGCTCTGCTGCTGTGTGTGAGTGTTTGGTGAGCGCAGGAACAGAAAGCTGCTCTGTGGCTGCTTTGAG